CTGATAACCCCATTATGAGTACCAGTGTTTGAAGCTGTCGTATCTGCACAAACGGCGAAAATATTTTCTTTTATTTCAGAATATTCCAATGCATTCTTCATTTCCTTTGTCTGTTCTTTTTCTTTAGAAGAATTGGCTTCAAAAACCCCTAAAAAGATGTCATTACTATTATCATCTTTAGGACCTGTTACAATTACTGCAATCCTTTCCTTTTTTACAGTAATAATATTTTCATAATCCATTTCTTTGCACAATTTGCTGTCAAAGTGTAGGACAAGTTTTTTTACCAGTTAAAAAATCTTTATAGCCAGCTCAAATTTCATTTCCCTTGTTCTTAATTGTCTCAAATCTTTTCCTATGGGTTAAAGATTTTGATAGAACAATGTCTTCTATGTCTTGCCCAGCATGCCTTAGAATGGAAGATAATAAAGCTGTGTGACCCCTAACACCAAGCTAAATTTTTTAGCTACTTCACTGGTAGCTTTTATTAATCTATCCGCTGATATAGACAGCTGTAGCTCATCTTTTCTCTTTTTCCCAGTTGATAGTCCAAGTTCTTCAGGATTTTCATCAGTTAATACATCAAAAGATACTCTCTAATTTTTGACACAAAATCTTTACAGCTTAGGCTAAACAGCTCATTTGACATGTCAATAAAGTCTTTTTTCAATGGAGGGAAAAAAATTTGTTTAAAATTGTAATATGTAATTTTCTTTTAATATTTACATATTTCAACACCAATCTATTATGGGGTGGACCTTCCTAAGTTCCTGAATCGATAATGGAATAATAATGATTTTTTTCCATTCTCTTTTTTGCAGGTTGTTTCCCCCAATCTTTAAGGATGTTAAAAACTGTTTTAATGTGTAAAAAGCAATGGTAAATATTTAAACCTAAAATTGTTAAATATGTATCTAATATAGTTTAAATAATGCTTATAGTAAGTGAGTTACTTCTTACTTTTTATAGTCGATCTGCTTTCTTCATTTCTGGTTAAGTTTTTCAATCTTGTCCCTGATTCCTTGTCCTCTCATCAGGAAGTCATCGTGCAAACCAGCTCTGCCACAGACAATCACTACTTCTTTGACAAGATACTCTCTAGTTGTACCTTACAGTCTGTACTAGGAACTTGACATGTAAGCTGATTGGAACTCGTCTGCAGAGGGCAACAAATACTAGACTTAGTTGACCTGAACTTCAGCTTCTTTGAGGATATAATATTACAGTATCTTCTAAGTATATCTTCATTTGTGGATAATTGTGACTTATGAAGCTTTTTTATGGGCCTGTCTAAAAGATAAGGAGGTCTTCTTGGGTTCTCTACTGCACTATATACTCGTTTCAGCGCTTCTTCTTTTGACATAATGACGAATCCTTGAAAGTGCGTCGTTAGCTCGAGTTAATTTTTAGCGTAGCTCATTGATATAAAAATTCCACGAGAGATTTCAGTCAATCAAAACACCGAAATATTTGATAACTTTTGTAGGATATAATCGTTTATTATTAATTTTGATTTGGATTTTGGAATTTTTGTTTAGATTTTATTTTTTTCTACAAGATGAAAAAAGATCATATAACCAGTGAACAATACCTTTTAGATCCGAATTTATGTTTTTACATAGAGAATTACACAATTTTTTAACATGCAATAGGTTTATGTCATCAGCAAAAAGATGAAGTGACGAGAAGTAGACAGAGTTGTTTTTGTCATTAATATAAATAAGGAACAAAAGAGGACCAAGGACAGAATTTTGAGGAATACCGCACACAACAGATTTATTAGTAGAATTATAACCATTAATACTTACAAATCTTCCGATCTGTAAGATAAGATTTACAACACCACGAATACCATAGTGTTTTAATTTAGAAATCAAAGTGTTATGATCAACGGTATCAAAAGTTTTTTGTAAATCTATAAAAGTACCACAAACAAAATGACCTGTGTCGAGAGCTTTCCTGATTTTTTCAGTTATACTTATTAATGCAAGTCAGGTAAAATGTTTTGAACGAAAATCAAATTGAAATTCATTTAAACAGTTAAAAGAGTTAAGAAAAAAGTAAACTTTAGTATATATAATAATAGCCAACTTCGTGTAACAAAAAATGATATCAAAAGAGATATTTCTTTGTTTGAATCAAAGACCAAGTTTACTTAAAATTGTTATAGTGTACCAGTAGGTTCTTTTACACAACAACAAGTCTATTTTTTTTTAAAACAGCTTGCTTGTGAAGTTTTTTATGCGGTTATTTACTTGCTTGATGCAAGCAAATAATCCACATTAAAATTGCACAAGCAAGCTGATAAATTCAATTAAATTTTCAAAGTATTATTAGTTAATAATTTTTACACATTATAAATATATAAGTAAATTTAAAAATAGTTTTATAAATACTAGTTTTTGTTTCGTCTCTTTCTCCGTTATTATTTGCGAATGTTTAAAAAAGTAGAAGCAGAAGCCAAACGCGCGATAAAATATCCGGGGGAAGGGGTATCTATCTTTTTGCTTTCCTTTTATTACGGTTAGGGATCGTCCATAAATTACGTAACACAAAATTTCACAATAAACAAAACAAATTTAATTAATTTAAATAAATAATCAAAATAGAAAATTAAAATAAAAGAAAATCGCTGCGTAAAAGAATTTAATACTTCTGTTCTTGAAATATTTTTTGTGTTGCGTAATTTATGGACGATCCCTTACCATTGGTCAGCGCTGGCCAGACATTTTGGTAGGCTCTCTTGTCAAACCCCTATTCCGACGTTGAGCGTCCTTTGCGTCGGCGAGCTTGTATTTCTAGAAAATAGGCGAAATGGGATATATAGGGATTTGCGCTGCGGTGTGCACATACACCGACTGATTTTTAGAGAGAACATGCAGCGGAGTGTGGAAACAACGACTGATGGTTTGGAGTAGGCAGGTTCTCTTTTAAATAAAAAAAGTCGTTTTTTAACATTTTCGGACCTTGAGGACAGCGTCGGAATAAGAGAGCCTACCAGACATTTTGTCACAAGAGCCGCATTTATATACTTACGTGAGCCGAAGAGCCGCAACAACTTCATGTTTTTTTTTTTTATATATAAGACCTTTTTATAAAACTTTTATACTCTTTCTTTTGATAATCTGAATTTAAAAAAAAAACTACCCAAAAAATAAGAAACTTCTAGAACTAGCCCATTTTCTTGGTTTCATATAAAAACAACAATTTGTAATACACTATTTAAAATCATTTTTCAAAGAAAAGTTTTTAGAAAATACAAATTATTTAGAAAAATCCATGTGCTCCCAAGTGGTGGAAATAATTGTTGTATTACTATTCAACAATATCATTTTAATATAAAATTTAGATATTTCTTGGATACAAATTATCATTTTTTAAAGATATAAGTAAAATATTTATACAATTTAATTTAGTAAATTGTTTTAAAACACTCAATAAATTTTTCAAAGAAAAAACTATTCCTTTAAAGGTTTTGTTTTCAATGTCATTATATCTGATTTATTTTATAAAAGAAATTCCCTTCACACTAAAAAATCATTTCTATATTTTTTTGACAATCACATGATCACACTGATTTTGCACAGCACATGATTAGGTGCTGTGTAACCCACTGGTCATGTGCTGTGCTACACACTAATCTTTTTTTATGATAGATTTTTGCACAAGCACATGCTGATCTTAAACTTTTTTTTAATTAACAAAATTATAACAATGCTTATATCAATGAAATAATAATTAAATAACAACACTAAAATTAGATTATTTTACTTGATTTTTACAAACAAGAAATAACTTTTTCATCATTTTATCAATTTTTTACTTGGATCAAACTAATACTCATAACTTTACTGGTATGTTTCTTAAAATCTGGTTTCAAGCTTGTAGTGGCTGTTCTAAGTAACGCAAACAAATGCTCGCTGGTTAGATTTGCATGATACTTTGATTTAACAAGTTTCATAGTAGAGAATAAAGATTCACATGTATACGTTGAACCAAAAATTGAAATGAATTTTATGGCAACCTTTTTTAGTTACCTAACCTTTTTTAGATACCTAACCTCGGGAAATATCTTCCAAAACTCCATAAAAACTATTGTTTTATGCAGCATAAGAAGATTTGGATCTTCTTGGAGATCTAATAGTTCCATTTCAAATTGAGATATATCTTCAAGCATTTTTTCAGGAATTTGACAGCCATTACTTAGTAATGGCTGTCAAATTCCTGAAAAAATTTAAACTTCCATTTCAAATTATTTAAACTTGAAGATATATCTCAATTTGAAATGGAAGTTTAAATAATTTGAAATGGAAGTTTAAATCAATTTGAAATGGAAGTTTAATAAAAGTTTAAAGATTTGCATGAACTAATTTATAGTAAATTTTTTTTTAATTGATATTATTAGTCATGATTACTAATAATATCAATTAAAAAAGAATTTACTATAAATTAGTTCATGCAAATCTTTAAACGTTTTTCGAAAGTCTTTTTGTAAATCCTTCAGTTTGTCTAAGTATGATTCAATCTTATCGTCATCATACTGAATTGAAGGATTAGAAGTAATCATCTTCATTTGAGGAAAATGAATAAATTTTTTCTGGCTAAGATCTTTCTGAAAAAGAATAATTTTTTTTGAAAACTAAATATTGTTTGTGCAAGATCAGATACATTTTTTTCTTTTCCCTGAAAAAAACAAATTCAGACTTTTTAAATATTGAATTATATCAGTCAAAAACATTAAGTCTTGCACAAAATTTATATCGTCAAGGATTTCAAACGTCTTTTCTTTTTCAATCAAAAAACATTTAACTGTCTCTAATAATTCTACAAATCTATAAAGAACATCACTACTTGAAATCTTACATCTTACAGAACAGAAAAATGCGGCTGGCAAGCCGCCATTCCTGCCATAGGTTATTACGCCATTTTTTTCGGCATTTCGGCTTTATGGCGTTTTAGAATTCGCTGTCCCGTGACTTTTACTTGGTTACTTCCATTGTTTAGTTGTCATAGTAACGTTTTACAGGAATGGAAAGTTTTTGAGAAATTATTATATAGCTATTTTTATTGTAATAGTAGACTTTAAAAAATGTTGCCAGTATCTTATAAAAAAAAAGAAGAAGAACTTGAAGAATCTATCTATAAACTTATTCCAAAGACTCCTGAAAACAAATCAAAGTCTAAAAGGCATGATATATGATTATTGAAAAATACGTACTATAAACAGGCAGTTTACAATATGTATTTTTTTCAACAATCGTAAAAAGTTTTTTTCGAAACTATTGCTGTTTAACTGCAATAGTTACGAAGATTTTTTTATTTTATTTTAATCTTTTAACGTGAATAGCCGATGCAAATTTAAAATTTTAAACAGTTTACATAATTTGAAGCCACTTATTAATTAAGTTAGTTACTTATAGATTAGTAATTTTATTATATTCTATTTATTTACAAATTACATAACTGCTCTATATCTAGGGGGTCCCATATCTAGGGGCTAGGTCCACTAAGGTCCTAAAAAATGCTTTTGTTGTTAATTTTTGACTGTTTTACTATTATTTTTAATTAAAAAAGCTTTTAAAATTTCTTAGATATTACATAATATATAGGTAATAACCTATCCACATATAAAGTGTAGTAAATATTATTTTGGAGTTTAGTGGTTTCGCGTACTTAAGTATCAATGAATATTTAGTTCTTGAATTTTTTTTTTTAAAGTAATACAAATGATTTAGAAAAGTTACAAAAGTATTTTACTAGATTAGCAGATATATTAGTAGTAAATTCATCATTTTCACCTCAGCTAAAATGTGAATGGCAATGGTTCCACCTCTATCCAGACCTAAAAATAAAATCATTTTATTTTATTTAAATTGTAATTACTGTATGGCTATAAAATAAATGCAGGATCAGTTCATTGTATTTTAATTAAGTTAAAGAAACCATTGCGGAACATCTCTGGTTTTTCTGATCATTACATATTATGCCTATTTTATAAATAGGTTAAATCTACAATTTCAGACTTCAAGAGCAATGGTTTAGAAAATATTGCCATATAAACACTATTGAGTGGCATTATAGAAAAATTTTAAACTCAAGTATAAGCAGCTTGTTTCGTTTTAGTAATTAAATATCTTTAAAAGTATATTTTCCATTTGCCTAAAAAGTACAATTTTAGTTATTATGAGTTCCTTAATTTTTATAACACTTTCTAATCTAATTTTAACAGCAAATAAGACTGTTAGTTCTAACGATTTAATGGAAACATTTTCAATTTGTTATGTTGTAATTTCTAATTATCTGGATTGAAAGGATTATTGGAAACTAGTACTCCTACAACCTGTCTATTGGCCCATGTGAGAGGTGTAGCTGATTATATGTATTTACTTAAAAAATAAAATGTTTATTTGTATACCTGAATTCTCAAGTTCTGAAAGTAAAAATTTTAAACAATAAATTTTATCAAATAATGAATAAAAATTAACAAAAATAACAATTATGTTTAAATGTTAGATATTAACACAGCATTTTACTTCATTATAGCTGGTACATAAAAATTGAGAATTTTTTTTTTTTTTTTAAAAGGTCAGGATTGTAACAAAATGTGCAGTGAAATGCTTTACACAAATTGAACAATATAAAATCTAAAAACTTCCTGATAAAATTTAAATATTCTTAGACAGAAATCGGATACTAGTTATAAAAACTTTTACTGTTAGATTTAGTTTTTATTTTGTAATAGATTTTGTTGATAATTAAAAACAATTAATATGTAATAATTCATTTCATATTTTTTTTTTAATATGAAAGGAGTAAAAACCTCAAGTATTTTTAACCTCAGGTATATGTAATTTAGTAGTAATGTTACAAATTGGACTTCAATGCATATCTGTTATAGGATACTTAAATTAATCATCAGCTTTTTTTTTGGTTATTACATATGGCGTGCATCAATTTTTTTTGGGAAAGCATAAATATTGAAGTTTTTTAAGTTGGGACTTACTTCTTACAACTAAGCAATACAAAAAATTTTCATTATTTTTGAATAAAAGTTGATTATAATGAGGATAAAAAAATATAAATTGGTAAAAAATTATAACCTGAATGTGCAATGCTATATACCTAGATATTAAAAAAAAAATTTAACCAAAAATATATCCTTTGGTGTCAAAAAAAATTTGATTTCCAATTGGTCTTTAACCGGATAGATTATAAATAACTCTCTTTTCCTGTATCATATAGATTCCAAAGACATTATTGGTCTTGACAGCAGCAATTTTTGATTTTCCAAATACAAATACAAATATTTGTAATTTAGGTTTAAAAAAAATCATAGTTCTAAAAAATGTAACCAAATACACAGCAGCATGCACATCTGCTAAATTTAGTAAATGTTTTGTACATGCAACAAATTCTTCTTTGCAATTGATTTCTTTAATGAGGATCTGAACACCAATTAGGTGACAAATATCACTGCAACATTATCATATGTTTGTCCTTTACAATTTTGAATATCTATTCCATCACTTTCTGATTTATCAAATATCATAATTGAAATATATTCAGTATTTTTTCCTTTTGTTTCAACAAAATCAACAAAGGATTCCACAACATAAAATTGGTTTCTATTAATCCTAACATAGCATCAAACTTGGCTGATTTGATTTTCATGAGGAGTATCAGAGATGCTGTCAAATACCACTAATTAGTTTCTAATACTTATACAATAGGGTTATATGAAAACAATGAAGAAAAAGATGAGACAGCTCCTACACCAAGCAGAAAATATCATAAAAGCTAAATTGCAGTCAACTTGGTGACCTCTACAAGAGTATCAACTAACAAAGCTGCTAACATATGCAAGCAATTGGCTTGTGAAGACATTGACATCATAACTCCATGTCAATCAGCTATTTACAAGTCAACAATCAAAGAGGCAATCAAGCTGAAGGAAGAAATGATTGAAATGTTGCATATGGAAAATTGGTTCTTACACTTTGATGGCAAGCATATTGACAGAATGGATTATCAAGTGGTCGTCCTTAAAAGTGAAAGAAGAGAAATCAAATTGGATTTCCTTGATTTGGTAGATGGCAGGGCATTAACTATTGCTCAAGGAATTTCTAAAGTCTTAGATGAATTTTACCTATGGAATTAAAAACAGATGATTGTTGCAGATATTACCAGCGTTAACACTGGAAAAAAGAATGGTGTTGTTGTAATATTGCAATGAATGTTCACAGAGAAATGCATCAAGAAGCCTCAGTTTATCAGTTATCAATACCATCTATTAGATAGAATCCTTCGTTTTTTTTTCTAATTATTTTTTTTTTCTAATTATTCACCTCCCCAAGGCCTGAGGGGGCCACTACAGTCGAGGAGGCTACTCTATGAAAATGGCTACTACTTTTTGAAAATGGCTATCTATGAAAATGGCTACTACTTTTTTTTTTTTTTTTTTTTTTTTTTTTTTGTTGGTGATGAAAAACTTGGAAGTAAAACAATTGCCAAACATTGAATATCCATTTGTATATCAACTGTTGAAGGAGTTCGGACAACTAAAAGCACAGTTTGATTACGGAACAGAAATAGTTCTCGAAACATCAGGCTGAAGAAATGATATGAAATTTTTGTTTCATCTTGAGTGTGCCGATTTTTTTGAGAAAAAGGGACATTTTCCATTGATCAGGTTTCAGAAAATATCCAACAGCAATGCGAGGTGGAATTCCAGAGTTATACTAGCAATCCTGGCCTTCATTTTAATTCTTTCAACAAGGACAGTTCTGTTGATTTATATTGTATGACTGGGCAGACCATTGGTTTGCAGACCAACTGTACAACAAAAACGACTTAAATAACTTGGTTGAAATACTGAATCCATACAAAAAGGCTTTAAGTTCTTTGAAAAATTACTGAAAGCGAGGGCCATCCATACTACAGATACCCGGAAGTAATCAATGCGCCGAGTGCGCAATCAAAGTAATGGAGGAAATTTATTCATCATGCAAAAATAAAGACAAATTGCACCTTTGATTCCTTCTGTGCAAAAAGCAAGAACAAGGTCAACAGTCAGATTCTTTGTTGGATTGAAAATTTATTGTATTACATGACTATGATATTCTAAATACATTTAAATACATAGTAGTGCTTGTTAAAATTGATTTTTGAATTGTGGGGTGAAATTTTTTGAAAAGATATGCAAATAATAGTTCATTTCGTTATTTTTTGGTAAAAGTTCATCAACCATAGTACAGGAGCATGGGGTTGATAAAAGACATAACCCAATGTACAATGTACAATGACTTTTCCAGTTTGGCTCTTAGAATGTATTCATGCGACATGGGGTCATATTTTGCCAACAACTATTTGCCCATGAACTGTTTCTAAAAAATATAATCTATTTCCAGTAGTCTTAACTTGATCTTCATTGCTATAATCTTCTTGGTGAACTCTTAGAGACAAGTTTTTTTAATTACAAAATCTTAGAGATAAAAGATGTGTGCAATTTACGTTGCTGCAGTTAAAAATATAATTTGAAGATATTATTTCCCATTATAATAACTAGTTTAATGCTTTCTAAAACAAAATGTCAATGGATTGTGGTATTTGGGTAGGGATTCAAAACAGATAAATTTTAGAATTTCTTAAAATAAATTCGCCACCCCTAAAATAGTACCATGCGGGGCAGCCTGTCCATATTGCCCCACCCTTCATATGCCACTGTAAAAAATACAGCAATATTTTTAACACAATTATGATAAGTTTTTTTCCCAAAAAAACACTGGTCAACCTAGCTTACAGACTTACAAACACATTTCAATCAAATACAAATACAAATATTTAGGAAATTTTTTAATCAAATACAGTAAGAATACAGTTTAGCCCATGACTACCAAATACAAATTCAAATACAAATACGTATTTGACCGAACGCTGTCTCCTGCTTAGTAGATGTGAATTATTAGTTTGTAACTAAAAAATTGAGTTTTTATTAAATATACAGGTATGTCAAAAACACAAAATACTTTTTAAGCAATTCATTGTTACCTCCTTTCAAGTATATTATGGACAGTATGTTGTATATTTAAAATCTATGGCTTTTGATGAAGCTATAATGAATAAAATAAAGATTCCTAGTGTCTGGATTAAAAACAAAAGAACTTAAATAGAATAGATGCATTTATTTA